GAGGGAGATTGATCCTAAACCTGTTTAAGGGGGTTGGGTGCTCAGTTCCCATCAGCACTCCATGAAAATCCCAGCCCCGGGGACTGGCCCATGAAATCCACAGGGAGCCTGGACTGAGCTAGGAACTGGTCCCAGATTTCTTGGGTCCCAGCGCTGTGCCTTAGCCCTGTGGCCAGCCTCCCTGTCTGAGGCATGCATTGGCGGAGGCATCCCACAGGAGTATGTGGGAACTGGGCCACCCAACTGCTCGGGCTGCTTTGAGCCTCACTCACTCCCTGTCAGTGGAGGTGCCGTCCCCCTGAGGGGATTCACATACACAGAGAAGGGAGGATCAGTGGTCTAGCATCCTCCATCCCACCTCCCGCAGGGTCCAGTCCTGAATTCCCCAGCCAACCCCTCAATGGCCTTGGAGTCCATTTGGTGACCCGTACTATAGCTACATGCAGGATCCAGATAGCAGGTGGGTCCAGCACTGGCAGGATGGGGCAATGGGTCTAGAAACTAACAGTGTTCTTCTAGATGGATCTAGAATGGATGGACATGGGTGTGCATCAATCTAGACTGGAATTGTTTGATCAAGATGAATCCTGAATTGACCTAAATGGATGTGTGGATCCCATCCCCCATCTGTCAGACATGCTAAGTCTATGAGCAGCATCCCAAGCAAAGTAGTGGAATTGCTGAGATGGGACTCCATCAGTAGAGATACCAAAGGAGAGCCATATAATTGATACCAATCAATATGGTTCCATGGAAAACAGGCCTTGCTAAATGAAGACGATGTCGTTCTTTGACAACATTACAAGGCTGGTTGATAGAGGTGACCATGCTGAGGGAAGAGATAGATTTGGACTCCTGGAAGACATTCGCTGAAGTGCCACATGACTTTCTCATTGAGACACTGTAACATCAACCTGTTTTAATCCAGGTGAAATAGATTAAAAACTGGTTCGCCAACTGCATGCAAAATGCAATGTTGAATGGGGAATGAAAGGGGGTTTCCAGGGGATCCCACCGGGACCTGTTCTTGGCCCAGGGCTCTAGAGCAGTTCATGCTTTTAGTTCTGGCAGGCCCCCCATTTCAATCCCTGGTGTATCAGCCATCACAGTCCAGCTCCTATAGCCACATTGCCAGTACTTCCGTTACTGTCTGCTCGGCCATCTCACCACTTCTCACCCCTCTTCTCTCTCGCACGTGGAGAACAGCTGTCCCTCCAAGCAAAGCCCCAGCCCCTGCCTTTGCTAGGCACGCCCTGGGAAGTCAATGGAGCCACGTTCTTTGGTATCTACTCCAGCACTCCCACATGCCTGCGTGTTGTAAGCTATGGCTGTGGGTTCCCCAGATGGCTAAAATGGCTTCCTTGCATTAATCTATGAGAGCAGAGGCCCCACCTGGAACAAGATTTACCCCAACCCCCAACAAGAGCAATGGCCCATCTCCTCCCTAGGCGCTGGACCCCTGCTTTCAAATGAATGGTAATGGGGTGACCCCATCTCCCAGGCACCCCTGACAGGCTCAGCCTTAAGACAATCACCCCCCGCATCCCATAGTTCGCCAGTGCGAACCCTTGAGGACAGCACTGGGAGATCAAGGGAAGAATAGATCACCTGAGGTTTAGTTGACAGGCTCCTGTCACCATCAATGACGGGCAAAGATCATGCTTTAGAAGGCTACAAGGCACCATCGATGCAACATCTGGAGCCCGGCACAACTAGCCCTCGTGTTCCCAATATTTGGTGTCTCAGTTGCTGGAAGCCATTCCCCTCTGGGGAGGGAGGGAGCAGGCTTCGATCTGGCCCAAGGGCGGGGGGCTGGCTGGCTCAAGGATGGGGAGCTGGGACATGAGGTCTTTCCTCTCAAGGGCACCTCGGTCGTGCTGTCAATGTTCCTTTTTGCCCTACCCCAGATCTTCCTTACATGGGCTGTGGCTAACACTGATTGCTAACGGTGCCGGGTGAGACAACACGCCCCGATCCCCTGTGATAGTCTGTACCTTTTTCTTCAACCCTTTACAGGACGGTGATAAATTTCATACAAAATATGCCTTGTGAGGTATCATTTGAAAAGTCTCTCACCACATCTTCCTGCAATCTTACAGGGTGAATTGCCTTCAGTCAGGATCGTTTCCCCAGTCCAATGCTGCTTCCTTTGTACTTTCGGTGTTGTGAGTGCTGTGGGTAGAAGGAAAGGGATAGATCATTTGGGGGCATCTGCTCCACCTTCTTGTAGCTCTTTCTCTTCTTCGAGAATTATCACCAGCTGATGTTTAGGAGACATAAAGCAGGGGAAATTTGGTCCCAGGTTCAAAAGAGTCCAGTCTCTGTATTGAGGAACTGTAACCTGATTGTACCATCTGTCAGGGTCAGAAACACAGTTTGATTCAAATCCTGCTTAGACTAAAAGTTTAGGGTATAGAAGGCATATGGACCTTTTATTTTCTTGTGGTAACTATCTCTGACCTTTATGCGCCCCACTTATAATCACTTAAAATCTATCTTTCTGTAGTTAATCAATCTGCCTTGTATTTTACCAAATACAGTGTGTTTTGGTTGAAGTGCCTGGGAAATCTCAGCTCAGTTTACAAAGGCTAGTGTGTGTCCTCTCCACATGAAAATATCCATTTTGGTTGCAAAGTTAACTGGCAAATCTCTGAATCTATTCAATGAAATGTCAAATCAGTATGCTTAAATTACTCTAAATGTAAAAAATAAATTGGAATGATTTCTGATTACCCTTGACACATATAGAGTGAAATTTAGGACTCTTAAGAGGGGGACTGGTCTGAGTAATGTACACCTGATAAAAGATACGCTGGGAAATGAGCAAGGGGAAAGGGGTTTGGAAGCTTTGAAGAAATGTTGGATCTTGTTGCTCAGGAGCATTTCCCCAGCATATGCAAAGATGACGTGAAACAGTGTCTAGAGACAAACGTGGGAACTGTGGATGAGATGGAATCTCTAACTGATGCCTTTGAGTGGATCCAGGCGTCTACGGAGAGTAAACCACAGAAAGAGGGCTTTAAACCTGGTGGGAGGCAGGGTTCCCATTTTACCCCTGGGAAAAAAGGAGGGAGGCTGGACACTCATTTCCCCCAAACCATTCCCCTAATCCCCATCCCAAATCTCCAGTGAAAACAGAAGAGCCCAGAAGGTGCTATCACTGTAATTCCACTGATCACCTGAGGGATAAATTCCCTGTGTTGGGAGGAAGCAGGCAGCAAATAGGTCATGCTAATTCTTCTGTCCTCAATGCAGAAACCTCACAGGCGATTGAGACTTATCATATTGATTTTGTGGGATTAGCCTTTGCGAAACCAGGTATAGAGCACATAAATGTTGGTGAGATTAATGGCAAGGAATATGTTGGCTGGAAGGACACTGGTGTCAAAATTTATGTGATTAAGCAGAGTATAATTCAGGAAGGTGGCATATTGCCAGGACAAAGGGCGAGCTTTTATAGGAGGTTAAGCAATTCTTGTGCCTTTAGCCAAAATGCACATAGAAACTGATGGTTTAGAAAGTGTAGTAACAGTGGGAATACTAGACCATATTCTTGTTGACATGTTTATCAGGAATGATTTTTTCTACATAGTTCAGATTGTTAAGGTGTTTACCCGCAGCAAGAAGGAGTTTTATGCTTGGACCCCTGAGGGAAAGGATAAAGTCACAGGAGCTGCTGAGGGAAAGTCTCGTTGATTCCTCTACAGCAGTGAAAGCGGAATGCTCCCAGGTATGGGGGAGGTTGAGACCGACACCTGCACTGCAACTGAAGGCAACACCTCTGCAGGAAGGAAACAGGGTGAGGTGCCTGTCAGTGACAGAACTGTCCAGGTTGTTAGCTGCCAGCACATTGCGCCTAAACAAGAGATAGATCCCATGCTAGAGAGCATAGAGAGATGTGTCCTAGAGGGGTCCTAGAGGAAGAAACTGGGGAAGGATTAGTGGGGATACATGAATATCTCCACACTGGTCACTTGGGAGAGGAAGCCCAGGACAGAA